CACACCCCATCACAAGCCAGCAAAACATCCACGAAACAAAGAAAGGTCTGTCACAGCCAAAAAATACACTCCAGACACGTCGCTGGCATTAGAGGCACACCATGGCCGCCTAGTAACGGCCCCGACCACTGCCGCTCGACCTGACCGGAAAAAACCGTAGCAGGAAGCTAGCGAAGTCGTAGTATATATCGTCACAAACAGAACTGTCCGGTAAAACCGTAGGCATATATACGATATATATATATATATCAAAGTGGTACAACATATCTTCAAGCGACCAAAGGTGTCAATTGATTCGCAAAAGACTACATTAAGAAATTATTCAAACCATGCAACATCTTCAAACATTATTAGATATTTAAAAACTAACAACGACAACAAACAATTGCAATTCATGTTTTCAACATTTAAAAACAAGTAGGCAGATATATGACAAAAATACACTAACTGAAGATCAAGTAACAAATACACATAATTCTTCAACAAATTATTTTTAACTTACTCCCATAGAAAAATGGTATTATGATTCAATCATGATACCTCTTATCAAATATAAAGATTCATCAACTTTGAAAGCCACAGACTGACGTTTTAATTTTCATGTTTAATATACATTTGAAAAACAATGCATTTTTCAATCATGTTGTATTACTACTCATTTATATTATTCAAAAAAATTATCTTTATTATTTTTTTATTTTTTCTTTCTAATTTTTTTTTTTTTTAATTTTCATCTTCGTTCTTCGTTCGTTTTTATCTTTTTATTTATTTCGCTTTCTCTTTTTAAACATAATTACGCAAACTTATCCACTCATATTTTTCTCTATTGTATTTTTCTTGAATATATGATTGATTGATTTTTTTGCATGATATATTGTGGAAAACGCTCAAGAATTACCTTTGAGGTAAGTTTCACATATGATTTTTTAAAAATGTACAAGATTACATTTTAAAAATTATATTGTTATTTACAATTTTCAGCACTTTACAAAACAACACAAAATGAATACAATAAATAATAGTTATATTAATAATATTAAAAATAATTCAATAAAAATACAAGAAAAAAAACTACATAAACGTAACAAAATACATCATACAAATAATGAAACAATAGATGCAAAATAAAAACGTCTAAAAAAAAAACGTGAAATATATACTCATAATGAACAAAAAAAACAAAAATGTTTACAAAAACGACGTCAAACATATCATATTAATAAAGAACATATTTAAAAAAAAAAGCGATTTGTATATCGAAAAAAAAAAATAAAACATTGTGAAAAACAAAAAAACATACGAAAACAAAAAGATTAAAAAAAAAAAATGTAAGCAAACAAAAATTTCAATCAAATACATACGTTT